AATAAAAATTACAAAATTATATATTTAAAATTAAAAGTTATTTATAAAATGTAAAATTAAAATTTCATTACAAAAGAAGAAGTAAACATCTAGAAAAACAATATAAAAAATAAAATAATATTGTATATCACTAATAATCGGCGTGATCATCTTCCGAAAAAGTATCGTCATCAGTAGAGGAGGAGTCAAAGGAAAAATGACGCATGAAGCTGAAGATTGGTGGTGTTGGAGCTGGTGGGGGAGGAGGAAGAGGTGTAGAGGTGCTTGCTCTCATGAGCTCAAAGTATGCATGCATCTGCATATGCTGTTGCTGCATCTGCACCTCCCTCTGCATCCTCGATGCCACCTTCTTCTCTATTTTCTTCTTCATTTTCTTCGCTCACTTCTTCTTCCTCCATGCACTTTCCTTACTCTTCCACATCTCTTCATTTTGCTTATGCAGTTCTTTGAGGGCATGGACCTGAGTGCGGACCATGTCCTCCACTTCCTCAGGTACAAGAGAAGGGGCATCTCCGATGACTCTCCATGCCGTAAATACAGCCTTTATAAAGGTCACCCACCGTCTTTGACCATATAGGATCATCATCAACTAACTCTGGATCTTGAGAAGATGCCTCCTCAAGCCTTTGAACATAGTCATCCTATAATTCAATGCAGATAATTATATATTAGTCTTGAAAACTATATAATAAATCATTAATAATAACATATAATGTCAATAAGGATAACTTACATATGTGGCCTGAGATCGTGTATCAACCCACAAGGTTTTGTCTCCCTTGCGAGTATGTGTCTCCTTGAACACCTCTCCATGTATAGGTGGTCTCTTCAGTGACTTTTCCTACAATTTCAATCAAATCACCGTCTCACTCATCAATTATAGATTGAATAAAATAAATTTTAAAACAAAATTAAAAATCACATACCAAGTTTGCTTTAGTGCCAACCAAAGTCTTAGAACCACCAGTATGCAATGATCCTCCTTTTAAGGATGCCCGTTTGTCTTGTTCTTTATGGAGAGATTTTTAAACTCATCCGTACCCCAATACTCCTGCAAGACATAAAGGAAGTTGGGTGCTATCCAATTAGCAGATAATGGATCCTGACGGGCCTCAGTGTATATCTGTCTTAGTCGCTTTGCAGTGCGACTCTTTCATGCCTTGAAAATCATCTTTTCATCCTGGGGGGAATGGAGAAGTTGCTCTACATAAATACAATTTCATTAGAAGAATTACAAAAAACAATATCTAATTACACTTAGCTGGAATTAATTAAATGTTATTACCTTCCAATCTTTGAACCATTCCATCTTTGTATTTTTAGGCACCTTTGCAAAACTTATGTAAGGCGCATCAAACATCTTCTTAATGGTATTTGTCACCTAGTGGAGACCCTTCTGTGGTGGAATCCAACTTAACACACAATAAAATAATACAATTATTATAACTTTTTAAAACAAATAGAGTTATTATTCATATTTTAAATTTAACTTACCAAGTAGACCCATCCCATCTTAAAGTTAGAAGCGATCTAGATGATGCCTAGGTCTGTGATGATTGCTGCCCACTTACAGTTGGGACAGCAGTGGATCCGTCACTTGTGCCCTATGTAGAAGGAGGTTGTGTGGCATGTGTAGTCGATAGTGAAGGGGGAGGAGCAACATACCCAGGATTGGGCACCATGATAAACTGTTCTTGTCCCCTATCCTGCGAAGTCTGCATAGTAGCTGGTGTGGAAGTGGAAGTGGGAGTGGTGGGTGAAGCAGTGTTGCCACGATTAGGACCCTGAGTACCACCTTTCTTACATTTACCTGCCATATCTGAAACAAATATAATACATGTTTAGAGACCAAATACACAAATACACAATATTATATCAACCTTTTATTTTATATTGAAACAAATTTTTAATGTAAATTTCGGTAGAATATCCCCTAATATATGAATATTTTCTTATATTTATTTACACTTAATAAAACAAATTTCTAATGTAAATTTTGGCAGAATCTCTCCTAATTTATGAATATTTTCCTATATTTGTTTACACTTAATACAACAAATTTTTAATGTAAATTTTGGTAAAATTTCCCCTAATATATGAATATTTTTCTATATTTGTTTACACTTAATACAACAAATTTCTAATGTAAATTTTAGCAGAATCTTCCCTAATATATTAATATTTCCTTACATTTGTTTACACGGACTTAATACAAAAATTTAAATTTTCTTTACACATAATCTATATATTATATAATAATTTATTAATCAATGCATAAAAAATATACACATTACAATCCTAAATCGTTCTAGAGCACATCCCCTTATAACTCCACAACATGCATATTCTACAAACTCTGTAAACACAAACAATCCAACAACACATAATAATTAGGTTTGTAGAAGGACCTCTACGCCCTTCCCCTAGTCATACAATCTCCAATTCTACAATTCTTTCTTAGAAATTTTAAGTCTCTAAAATACATCAAAAATAAAAAAATTAAACTGATTAAAAGTTAGAGTATCGTACCAGGAATATAATTATGCAAATTATCTTTCAAATGGATGCTCCAATCACTCACAAAAGCCGAAAAACTGAAGCTCCTCAAAAGAGAGACAGAGAGAGGTCTCTGTATTACGGACGGATATCCATCTGTAGTCAGCGCTTTTCTAGTAGTGTTTTTTTATTATTTATTAATGATAATTTAATTTAAATATTAAAATATTTGACAAAAATAAAAATTAAATATTAATGTGATATTTTTAAAATTTTAAAATTAAAATATTTGACGCTCGATTAAGTTAGAAAAAAAAAATAGTCTAAATTTATTTTATATTATAAATATATTTTTACATTATTTTTGTTAAATTTTTATAATAATATTTTTTAACTAAATTTAGGATATACAATTAAACAAATTGTATATTTTTTAACTTAATCTTACACTGTAACGAACATATATGCTAACGTACATCACTAATTTAATTATCGTTGAAGACTGGTAACCCATTTTTAAAACCGAGTAAGAAGAAGAAGAAGAGGAACAGTTGTTATGGACGCAGGCATGCATAGGATTGATGGAATTGAAGACTGTTTTGTAGCGGTGAAAATCCGTGAATGGTGTGCAGGGCATTGTTGTGTGGATGGGACCCGTGTTGTTTTGTAATCACTAATCAGATAACAGAGAAAGTAGAGAGAAGCCTTCAACGTGACGACAGTGTGGATAGTAAAAGACAGCTAGCAATGAACGCGGAGCATCACCTAACTTTCTTTACTGTAATAGTTTTATTTTCATATATTTCCATGGAAATGACCTAATCTTCAATCCTTTATGGATATTATTATCTTTTTCAAAAATATAAACATTACTTTTTAAGAAAGGATGATGAAAATTAAAGAGAATCAAGTTCTGGGTTTTCAATTTTCTGACTTCAAAGACAAAATGGAACAAATAGTAACTGCTATATTCGGGACCAGTTGTCGCTAACATGTGCCCAAGTGTTAACTGCACTCTCAGCTTTTCAAAACTATTTCATTCTTATTTTGAATCTCGCAAGTGTTTTTTCAAAGAAAAAGACAGAATTGATTATTTTGGATCAAGTATTTCCTTCTTTTTTTCATATATCTTTCGTTTAACAAAAAAATTGATTTTATTTAATTAAATGTTTAAGATAATATCAATCAAAAATATTAATATTAAGTTAAAAAAATTAAAGTACTTTTCTTTAACAAGGATATAGTTAACGTGCTTTCATTATAATCTTAATATATTTTTATTATTAATTACGTGATCAATATTATTAAAAATGAGTTGATCAGTACGGATTAATTTTTTATGTATGATTTTTATAAAATTATATATATATATATATATATGATTTTTTTTTAAAATTATATAACTATGGAATAGGTAAAAAAATTAAGAGATAAAAAAATTTTAAAAAGTGATAAATTTTAAAAGTCATTAAAAGTAACTTTTCAAAAATATTAAAATTAAAAAAAAATAAAGTTGTCAATGATAATTTTTTTTAAAATAATTAAATATTTAAAAAATACATCAAAAGTCACTATTTACATTTTTTAGCCAACAATTGTCAACCACAATTTTAAAAAAAATTATATTTTCATAATTTTACTAAAAATTATATATTTTTTAAATTTTGAAAAAAAAGACCATACAGAAGCTGATCAATAAGATTTTATAATTATTATATTTAAAATGTTTCGGCGGTAATCAGTATCTTAAGCTATAGGATTCTTATTAAGAAATTAAAAGTAAAAAATTATTTAATATTATGTTAAATTATTAAAAATTGTAGAAGAATTCTTATTAATAATATTTTAATAAATATTTTTTTTAAATTAATACTTTAACGTCATTAATTAGCATTTATTTACTTTAAATATAAATGAAAAAATTAATTATATATTTTAATATGTATCATTTTCTAAAATTTCCAATAGTAACAATTGCTGAGGAAAAATTAATTCTCTTAAATGTTGTACTAACGCTGTTTGAAATTTGATGAAAAATAGTTAAATAAAATTAAATTACGAAAAATTTACTTTACCTTATTAAATGTCCTTTCTGATTTCTTTTCAATACCTGAAAAAGCTAAATTAATTTCTAAAATTTTAGAAAGCCCACATGGCATGAACTTTAATTTAGGATTTCATTTAATAAAGAACAGGAAAACAAATAAAAATACTAGAACTAAGAAAACCCATTCTACTATATTAGCTTTTTCTGGGTTTAATTTCTATGTATTATTAATGTAAATTTTTTTATATAATAAATTAATTAACATATATTATGGGTATAATTTTTAAATGAGTTATTATAAAAAAATTACAAAATATAAAAAAAGCAAAGAACTTTATTGACAAATGCTAACATGCATTTCACCTTCACGGTGGACACCCTGCTTCTTTGGTGGGTCCCTGGCATGGTTGCTGCTACTTATAACACATTTCGATACCATTCATATTTATTCAAACCAACCAAAATATAAAGCTTCTTCTCCTTCTATTTTCTCTTCCATTTTCTCACTCACTCCTCAATTTCCCTTTCCATTTTCTCAGGAAAACAATGGTCGGGCCAAACATCATAGACGACTTCTTTGACCACATCGACGACCTCCTCGAATTCCCCACCGAAGACCCCGTCACCACCGCCGACGCCTCCACCTCCTCCGCCGCGCCGGTCCCTCCTCCGGCGAACTTCTGGTCCAGCGACTCCGACTCGGTTTTTCCCGTCAACACCGTGCCGGACCTCTCGGCGGAGCTCGCCGTTCCGGTAAGTTACCGAACACTGTAACGTCTCATTTGTCCACGTGTACACGCAAGGTTGTTTTTTTCTTTGGCCTTCACGTGAATTCCGTGAAGCTCTAAGTGATTATATCAACGCCCATGGTGTCTTTTTTTCTAGTTTGCGGAATTGGTTGCATGAAAATATCGGTTCTACTGGCTCTTTGTTAAGTTGATGTCTTCAGTTCAACTTTGTTCTTTCTTTTCAGTCCAATTTTATTTTTTAATAATATTATTAAAATGGAATTTGGCGTTACAAATTTTCAAATATTCCAGCCCAGGGCCATCCAGTTTTCAAACAGTTCCATTTGATTTAATCAAATAATTAATGCATATAATTATTTTCATTTGTCATTTACTTTTTATTATCAGTTCTGTAGAACTACAAATAAAAAATATTAATGAAAATGTGTAGTATTAAATGTCATTAATGCATAGTTACGTTAGCAGAGTTTTTATTATTATTTTCATTGATTGATTTCTTTGACCGTTTTGTTTTATTTTTATATATTTTAAAAATAATTTTTGAAACTAAAAGATAAAAAATTATTTAATATTTATATAACATTTTCCATTTTAAATTCCTTTTTATATTTAGTTTCCACCGTCATAACTTACAACAGGCGTGATATTCTTAGTAGACAGGAGCATTTTTGGTATTTGACCCTGACAAATCTAAATTTAAATTATTATTTGGGACATTGCTTTGCGGGTTAATAGAAATTTTCAAAAATTATAAAAAGGGGCAAATTAGTCATTTCGCAAGACACCTGACTGTGTCGGTGACAAACAAGGGTGATGTCCTCCATTTCATCGGTGGGGTTGCGCTGCCTAAATTATGATGATCATCATTATTGAATGTCACGTGACTTAGCATGTGACGCCATAATGAACATTGACAAAAGTAGTCGTCACTCTAGGTAGTAGCAATTCATGCTTCACGACGAACTTGGGTATGTAAATAATCTAATTAATAATTCTTATAATAAATTTTTAATAAGTATTTTTAAGACATTCAATGTAATTAATATATATATATATGTATGTACTATGAATAAGTTTGTTATTTAGTCGATTTCAAGAGCTGCAATATTACCAATGGGGTTGGGTTTTGTTTGAATTCTCTGTCGGTTCATAATTAGTATTTATTGAGCCACTGGGTTGAGTACAGAATGAGGAGATAGAGAGACAGAGAAAGTCGAGGGTGTTATTAAACCCTTCAGATCATTTAATTAAACTGTTAAATTTCAATAAAAGTTATTATAAGAATTTATTTTAATACATTTTATAATAAAATAAATTTCAATAACTGTTTATGTGATCAAATAAAGCCAAATAACCTTCACAGAAGTTTTTTAATTACCTCCTAAAATATCCGAAAAGCCAAATAGCATTAAAAATACATTAAAAATTGAATTTTTTTTAAATTTTTAGCTTGAAGAGTGTATTCAAATATATGAATTCAAAAGCTAACCATGTTGGTTCAATGTGTGGGTATTTTCAGTATGAAGACATTGTGCAGTTGGAATGGCTGTCCAATTTCGTTGAGGACTCATTCTCAGATGGGAACCTCACGATGAACAGAGTGGAGGCACCGTGCAGCACCAAGGAAGACACAGCCAATGCTCAATTCCAGACATCAAGCCCTGTCTCCGTCCTCGAAAGCAGCAGTTTCTGCTCCGGCGAGAAGGGTGCACCTCGCAGCCCGGAGATTTACATCCCAGTGCCATGCGGACGTGCACGGAGCAAGCGTCCACGCCCTGCAACATTCAACCCTCATCCTGTGATGCACCTCATCTCCCCTGCTTCCTCTGTTGGCGAGAACACGCACCTTAATTCCGCCACTTCTAAGGCCTCTTCGGATTCTGAGAATTTCGCAGAGTCTCATCCTGTGATCAAGATTCCAAAGCAGGCTTCTGCAGAGCATAAGAAGAAAAAGAAAACCGAAGTGTCGTTTCCATCAGGTGGAGACCAGAACCTGCATTCCCAAGCAGTTAGGAAGTGTTTGCACTGTGAGATAACCAAGACGCCGCAGTGGAGGGCAGGGCCAATGGGGCCAAAAACACTCTGCAATGCATGTGGCGTGCGTTACAAGTCAGGCAGGCTATTCCCTGAATACCGTCCTGCGGCGAGTCCAACATTTTGCGCTGCCATGCACTCCAATTCCCATAAGAAGGTCCTTGAAATGAGAACTAAGACCGGCAACAATGCTGCCTTTGCTGCCGATGCCGATGCTGATACACCGGAACTTATTCCAAACGCTAACAGCAGCCTTACCGTGGAATACATTTGAGGAGGGGAGAGAGGAATGGTCCTAGTTGGAGATTTCTCTGGTTCCCTTTCTTTGTCCTCTCTCTACAGTCGTGTCCTAGGCAAGGTTTTCAATTTCGGTCATCAACCGCAATATTAAGATTTTAGAGGTTTTTCTGCAACCACATTGTGATTGCAATTGTGACTGCAGACTGCATCAGCCATATTTGTCCACAATTTTGATAATTGCAAGGCAACTGCAGTTTAAAATCTTAGTCTTGTGTTATTTCTTATTTTTCATTGGATTTTTGTACAGGGCTCAAATGGGGGGAATAGGAGAAATAGAATATGATCATATTGTAGTTAGTTATATTTAGATGAGGATTGTATGGAGAACTGAAGAACAAGGGATAGAGATATATGCAAGTCAAGTAGGGGGGGTAGAGTGTTAGCCTTTTAGGTCTGGTAAGTGTAGCAGTACTCAGGAGGCATGGATGTTTACTTTTCTTATTTTTTATCATTTTTTATTTATGTTTCTAAATTACCCTCTCTGCCCCAATTCTTTTTGCAGTTTATTTGTGGAAAATTTTGAGTTAAGTGAGGAAAGGAACTTTTGGAATTTGCTTTATTTATTGTTTTGTCTTGCCCATTTCCTCTCCTAATGTCTGGACACTGCAATGCCTATATGCCAGTTAAGTTTTTGAGCAATAGCTGATACAGTTTGCAGGTATTAGTATTTAGGACAATATCTTTATCTATTCTTAGATTCTTCCAAGGTTGTCAATATTGCAAAATTGCTCTGGAGCAATATTGGTTTGCCGCCAAAGTTGCTGTACATTTCCAAAGCCGTACTTAGGCCAATATTTGCAATATTGGCAAGTTTGGTGCCAGCACCTGCAGCTGTATCAATCGGTTTCCTGTGTTCAATTGTTCCACAAAGGAATTGCTTGACAATTTTTAGAAGGGTATCTAGTCTTTGACGATATAAAAATTTCACCATGACTCAACAATATCAAATATCAGCTATATCACTTAATAAAACTAGACACTTTAATTCTTGAAAAGGAGGAATAATATGATTGATATTTGTAATTTTTAAGAATTGGGATGAAAATTTGACATTTTAACTATAATTTTAGGGATGAATTTTAAGGATATACTCATTATGATAAAAGGTTTGCAAGTTTTGTAAAATCTTTTTTCTAATGAGTACATGGATTTGAGGTTAATCATAATGCCGAAATAGAAAAAGGAAAAGGAAAAATCTGTAGGCCAGAATAAGCAACAACAAAAATTAATTGGTAGTTATCTTACATTATGTAAATTACCTGCCTCAGTGCAAACCTACAAAACCCACCAAGAAAAGAGAAAGGAAAAGAAAGCGAAGCAGTGGGAGAAGAAATGATTATAATTGATTGAACGCATTCATGCCTTGAAAGGTAAGGTTAATGCTCCTATATTAATCTAATTATGACTTTGAGAGACTCGTTCTGAGGATTTGGCAACATGTCATGATCTCACTCAACTTTACAACCGACAATAAATTAAATGATACTTTGCTGTTAAATTCAATCGATTGCACCAATCATTTCAGCTACTTGAACTTCTGGCTGATGGCAAAATTTCTTTAAAAAATGTCAAACCATCTCCCAAGTTTTAAGTTATGCCTATCATAACTACTTTGATAAAGACTTCAAAAGGATTAATACCTCTCCTCTCTCCAACATCTTTTGTATTTTTGTGTACTCCAATTAGTAACATGTTTAGGGCTTCTGAACCGGCCCTCTTATTATTACGTCTATGCAAGTCTTGGGTCAATTCGTCACCAACCTCTTTTGTCTAACATTACTATTCCAATTAATGTAATATTTTCTAGCCATTTATCGAAAGAGGGTACGTAGAGAAGAATACAAGTATCTCGTTCTTCTTTTTGAAAAGAAAATGCATGCATAATTATTCATTTAGTGTTTGTTTGTGTTTAGATCTATAAGCAAACGGTGATACAATTTGAACCCAAGACAATTTTTCTCAGGAGAACTTCCCAAAACTCCAAATTGTGTTCTAATGGTACACAAACAGGTTTTTAATAGCTTTTCACGGAAATTTTTTCAGCAATCCTAAAGTACATGCTCCTTCCCGTAAAAGTTAAAACAGCAAAACCTTTTTTTTTATGGTTATTTTTTCTACACAAAACATTGCACAGTGATGGTAAATGGTGAAGGAGTGCTCATAGGACGGGTTAAAATATATTTATTTTTGTCTCTATCCACCTCAAAACTTTAATAGGGGTTAATTATTTAAACTCAAACTCAACCTGATGAAGACCTAATATGTGGGATAAAATTGAGTCAATCCAATATGTTAAGAACATGTATAAATCTTAAGATTATGAGTTGCTAAATCGTAAAATTAAGATATATTTTATAGTATAAGTTTAATGTTAAGATGTATTGTTGGTATAAAAACTTTTATACTATCAACCAATTTGAATGCACAATAGATATAACTTTAAAATTAAAGCGTCAATGATTTTTACTGATGTGGCAATTGATGATAAAATGACAGGGTAGAATGTATTTAATTAAATTCTTAACGGTATATATCATTATGCAAAATCTCTTTCAGCTTTTATTGTATTGTTTCAAATATAGCAAACTAACTCAGTCAAGATAAAAATTATGGAACTTTTTGATTTAAAATACTGTATCTGCTGTTAATTGATTTAAAATGCTGAGATTTGACTGAAAAATTTTGAATTATTTTAGCTGAGTTGTTGAGAATATGATGTTTCCTATGTTGCATCATACTGAAATATATGTCTTACTTCATTATAGAGTCGAGTTACACGTTTAGGTGGGTAATGTGTAAGGATAGAGCATGCTGAACTGTGTTGTGTTGTGCTGTCTGGATCCAGACACCACCAGAATGGGTCGCTTCCAGACTGACTCAGTTTCTTGTGGATTACTTAAGCTGAATATCAGTTGGAGCCGTTTTCATATTGTGCATTAGATGGGCTGAGATACATGAGATTATTGCTATGAGTAATATATATATATATATATATATATATATATATATATATGTGTGTGTGTGTGTGTGTGTGTGTGTGTGTGTGTGTGATTTTTTTTATTTTGTAAGCTCACCTTTGCATTTTTGTCTATGTGTTGTGTGCGTGTGTATTACGATGATCATACCGTGGTACCTGAGCAGATGTAACATATATTGCATCTACTTCACAGGCTGAAGGACTAGTGGAGAAGTGTTAGAAGGCTAGAGTCGAGTAATTTTATATTAAAGTTTTTTTCCTTATATTTTGAGACCTCATATAGAGGGAGTTATGTAGTATAATTTTTGTGTATTTTGAGTATTATAAACTAAATGTAATATTATGTTGTTCTGTTGGATATTTGTTGTAATGAACTTTATTTATTTTGAATAAAAAATGAATTTTATACTTATATTTTTTATTATTTATCTATCTTAAATAAGTAAGCGGTGTAGAAATAATATTCTCGGTCCCTTATAAAAAAGGGTCTTGACACTTATAATCTAAGTTTCAAAACATTGAAGTTACTTATATACCCCTTTTTCTTTAGGACTTTTATTAGAGTAAGGCCATTCTCGCTTGAACAAGAAAACCAGACAAAATCTGCTACATCTAACACCCTCATTTTTATTCCTTTGTTTTTGAAAAAAAAAATAGGAAGTTCGGTGCAGAGTTTCTCACACAAGCGAGACAGATATTTTTGGAATTGGGCTTTTTGGAACATTCTCGCTCAAGCAAGAGAAGATCAAATCACCCCAACTATCTTCTTGCCCAGGCAAGAAAGGGTCTCATTCAGGCAAGAAACAACTCACCTGGGTGAGATGAAACTCGCTCAGGCGAGGAGTCGCAGGAAAAACAAGGAGCCCTCTGGACCCATTTTTGCTCAGGCGAGAATATATAAAAAAAAAATCATTATCTAGTTTTCTCGCTCAAGCGAGAATGTGCTCGCTCAAGCAAGAGCTCATTCACTTAAGCGAGAACACGCGACTTTGAAGAGTATTTAAGGGATTCAATGTTGAGAAATTTCATTTCTCACCAAAACCACTTCTCCCCTTCTGATTTCTTTCTCTCCCTTCCCAGAGAAAGCCTTCAATAACTTTGGATCTCTCTTGAATCTGAGCTCCAATGTATATTTCACTTGAAACCAAGTAAGTCTTTGGAGCTCAGCTCTTGAATTTCATTTCTATTTCTTTGTTTTCTCTCTTTAAAATAGTATTTTACCTTGCAATATTAGGAAGAACTCTAGTCTTTAGGTAGTATTCTCAGTCAAGATGTGGAGCTTCTCTCTAGAGCTCATGAAGAACTTATCCTCAAAGATCTATTTCTAGATAAGGGGAACTAACCTTAAACCCAAAGTTTTAACTGTATATTCAACTTAAGAAATTTGAAATATTTATTTTGAAGGTATAATATAAAAAGAAATGGATTTATGGATGTGTAAAACATATATGTACCCATTTTGAAAAGTTCCACAACTTTATTAGTAATGATTATGAATGAACATTTTAGGGTGTGAATTTGTATTGAAAATAATAAGTTTGCTAGGAAAAGATGAAACCTCAGGTTAGACAATTTTTGTTAAGACTGAAAGAGTGTGATATCTGGCATAATACTTATGAAATGCGCAACTGGTCCGAGTCTGAAGGTATCCGACCTTTGGTTTTTGTATTGGTTTTGTGATGATGTGCTTTCTTGTTTTATCATTGTATGTTTGATTGAGAAGTTGAGTATTGGGTGACATTGATATAAATGGATTGACTATCTTTATATGATAAAAGATATTGTGTTACATATGTGTGAACTAGATGAAGTAGGAATTCATGTACTATGATATGAGTTAATGAAATGAATAGGGTAAAAGAGATGAAGGAAACTTGATGGATAGTGAAAGTTATCAATGAGATCTATGTGAATTGATGAAAGAGTATAAGAAAAGAGAAAAAAGGAAGTAACTAATATATGTGTCACAAAGACACTGATTGACGCGACTATAGTATATGTGTTGTAATACATCAATGGGTGAGATTATATCACATATGTTGTAATACATTAATTACTGTAATTGTAACATGTGTATTGGAATAATATAATTGTGATGTGCCACATTTGAGTTACCGCATGGATAGTTCAGAGATACACTGAGGATATACAGTCCGAAGGTGATTTGAGATATTTAGGAGAAATAAGGGTGATGAATGCTAATAGCTTAAGTATACACGATTGACAACGAAAGCATTTATAGGCCTCACGCTCATTTCCTGATTGATCTTCTGACTATACCTTCGTTATGAATGCCTAATAAAGCACACGTTGTATCTGGGTGCGGCGACAGATAGCGACTATCCATGCTGGCGTAAGTCTATCATAACTAAAAACAGTATGTTGGCAGCGATTTGGGAGCCCATGAGTACCTAGAAGTACTCTTATTTGATGAATAATTCTGAATTGAAATGATTAAAGTGACATGAGTTGAAAAATTAAATAATCTATGGATAAAGAAAGAAATCGATTATGCTGATGAATAAAAAAATGGATTTCTATTTG